CTGCAGCCCAGTATTTATAGATGACCATCTCGACCTGAACATCCATAACCAAGAAGGATAATAATCCATGCTTTTCCAGCATGATTTCCAGTCTGAATTCCCCTACCAGTGAATAATGGATCATGCAGTTCTACATGTATAAATCATGAAATACTCAATGAAGACTGTATCTGTAAATGTCTATTTATTTCTTTAAGTTCTGTTTTATACAAATTTATAAGAACTTCGTTCTTAACAAAATGATTCTCCTGTTTTTTTATAACACAGTTTTAGATACCTAAATATATCTCATTGTTTTCCTTTGGTTTCTGAACCCATGCAGGCTTTGTATAAGCAAATTAGGTAATCTCTCAAAACAGACACCTCAAGTAATTTCTTGGCTTTCTTGTTTTAGAGCAACATGTTCACATAGAAACATACAGACTGCTATTGCTGACTTGTTTTAAAAGTCTTCAGGTGGTGGGGGTCCTCTCCGCACACCTTACAGCAGTCCTGGCCAAATAAGAATGGTGGTGCTCGCAATGACTATCACGGATGGCACCGTGAAAAATACGAAGTAAAAGAAACAGGTCACCAGCACTCGTTTAGAATAAATATGTCCTTTTTTAATGGACAATTGTGTCACTACAATCAACAGAGCCTGGCTCTGTTGATTGTAGTGACACAATTGTCCATTAAAAAAGGACATATTTATTCTAAACGAGTGCTGGTGACCTGTTTCTTTTACTTTGTTTTAAAAGCCAACCTCAAAGTAAAAGGAACAATAAGCATAAGAATATATAATGGAACTGATTAACCTGCCATAGGATTTGTATTTCTGTCCATCCAGTCCTGAGAATGACATAGCTAGCTACACAACAACGCCCCAACTGGCAAGGCAGAAGATGGGAAGCACAGTGGCGTAGTGGTTAGCGTTTCTGCTTTGCAGCACTGGGGTCCCTGGTTTGAATTCCATCCAGGTCACTATCTGCAAAGGAGTTTGCATGTTCTCCCTGTGCTTGTGTGTGTTTCCTCCCAAACACCAAAGACATGCTGGAAAGTTTTCAGCTGCTGTCTAAATAAATGGCCTATGCATGTGAGACAGGGACCTTGTAAGCTCCTTGAGGGCAGGGACTGATGTGACTGTTACTATGTAAAGTGCTGTGTAAATTGTTGGCTTTATATCAATACCAATAATAAAGAAATAAAAAATAAATAAATAAGTAACTCTTTCAGGTCTTGTCCATTCTTCAGCCCGTCACTGCATAGTAAATAGAGAAGCAGCACATTGATGAGCTCATCTCTCTTTCACTCTGCTCTTTCTTTCTATTAGCATGATACTTGTTAGCATATGACCAGCATCCAGCTGCTTTTCCCCCTTCCAGTCTGAGATCAGCTGTACAGGAACTGCAAGAGGCTGATGCCAAGTCAAATTCAGGTACATATACTGCTTGCTTTTAGAAAACATAATCAGACGTAGTCACAAGGCAAGCTTTTCTGAATGGAGAACAGTAGCAGTATGAAGAGCAGGAGTTGTGTGCGGGGGGCATGTCGGACCACTAGTGATATTGCTGTGCGACAGCAGTGGTTCTCATCTTCCGAATGCTGACAGGGTGGGGAGTTTGGTGTGGTACTGGAATTTTAGGTAAAAATAAAATAAAAAGATCAACATTTAAAAATGTTTTAATATTTAAAACAGTGAAGCTACAATCGGGCATTGACCTCTTCATGACTGAGCTAGTTTTTAGTTTCTGTTCCTAAATGACTGACACACTTTTTACATTTTTGCTGTGTGATCCTTCCACAGCAGCAAGTTTTGATTATTATTATTATTTTTAGAATTTTTTTAATAATAATTATAGTATACAAATATATTTATATATAAACGTTTTATTTTCCTAATTTTTTGTACACTTTTTTTTTTTTTTTTTTACACTTTGTAAAAAAAATAAGTGTAAAAAAAAAAAATTTTTTTTTTTGTCAGTTTATATCAAGCAATCACTATGACTGCTTAATAAATTAACTTTTTAAAATTTTTAGTTATTATCAGGCTGCTCCAAGCTTAGGAACAGCTAATAATAACTTTAGAGACTGATCCTGACAGCATGTCAGAATCAGATCTCACTAAAGGTCTTTGATCGTTTCTAGACGATCAAAAGTGATACATTTCACTCAAGAGATACATTTTGTATCTAGTGGTTGAAATGTATCATTTAACATCGGGCCAGGCTCTCCAGCTGTCAAAACAAATAGCAGAGAGGTGAGTCACTGCTACCTCTCTGCTATCTTCAGCTGTCAGATACGGGATCGCTATTTAGCGAACCCGTATCTGAATGTAAAGGCTTCATTCTTTCATTAATGAAAGAAAGAAGCTTTTAAAAAAGCTTAACTATTTCATTAATGAATGTCTCAATAGTGAGGCATTAATTAATGACTGGAACTGCTGAGAATCAGCAGTTACCAGCATTACAGAGGCTAATATAACTCGGCACGTGCAGTGTACGTGGCCAGTCATATAGCCACTTTGTGACGGGACGTACACTGTACGTCTCCCGTCACGAAGGGGTTAAAGAACAACTCCAGACAATTGGTTTTGCTATCCTAGAAGCATTGTAACTGTGCCTAAAGTGGGGGTATACACAGTTCTATTTTTTACCTTTTTAACCCGCAGGCAGTTTTCTTCATTAATGATTACAAGCGTGGATGGATGAATCCCCTGCTGTTTGCATTGTATTCTGCTGGCGGCCTCTGTCAGAATTCCCAAACAGAGCCAGCAGCTGTTTGGTTGCTAGCTCCGTTTGGCTGGGAAATTTCCAACTGGCTCTTTCGATCAGCTGATCAAGGGATGCCGGGTGGAGCAGTGCCGACAGCGGCACCCATGGTACAAATTTCAGCCGTTTCATTAGGAACAAGATGAAATTTGAACCGCCTGTACCTGACTTAAAGGAGAACTATGAGGTGAGTGCTTTTCACTCACCTCATAGTTCTAGCCGACCTGTGACAATGAGACTGTCACAGGTCGGCTCAGTAGATCGGGAGGTGAGCGAACACATACCGGGTTCGCTCACCTCTCGATCCTGTCACGGCTCTCTGCCGTGACAGGGGGAGGGGCTGGATTCCCCTCTCCCCGCTCCGATCTGCCAGCGCTGACTGGCGGAACGGACGGGGGAGGGGGCGGGTACAGCTGGCTCTGCCTCTAGATAGGCAGAGCCAGCTGTCACTCACGCAGCTGGGCGGATCCTGTCATCTAAGTCGGGATCCGCTCCGGCTGCGGCGTCTCAGTATACCGCGAGCTGTAGCTCGCGGTATACTGAGCTTAGGGTAACGGGAGGACGCTAGTTTGTGTCCTCCCGTTACCCTAAGGAGAACTATGGGGAAAAACACTGACCCCATAGTTCTCCTTTTAAGTCTGCACTTCTATTAAATTTAGTGTGTGAGAAGCACTAGGTGGATCATGGAAAGGGTCTACTTTTCCACAGGGTGATCCTTTATTTATACTGAAAGCCAGTTTGAAGTGTTAAGATCATGTGCCCCCTGCTGTGTTCAGTGGCTCCTCGCTCCAACCCGTATGTCACTACAGGATGCACCAGAAGTATTAAAATAACCTGTGATACCTGTGAGATTAATCGAACATAGCAGTTCCTTAATCCGTGACTCAATGCACCATCGAGAAAAATAGTTGTCCCATAGAAGAACAAGACAAACTGAAGAAGTCATATAGTGGATCCAGACTGATTAATCCATAATTTAGAATTGATAATCTTTATTATATGGTAGAAAATTGATTTAATTTACACTGAAATCGAAAATAAAACACCAACCGCACCACAAAGAAACCTCTAGTTAAAATGACAATGTTGTCAATATCACACACACCCATGCCATCCTGTCCACACTGCTTATTCAAATAGTCATTCCGCAAAAAAAGGATTAAGTCTTAAATCTGATTGCCATGAATACGGGGGAAACCAAGGTATCCTGGTCTGTTTGCCTGCGCGCTGAAAAATATATTGTTTATAAATAAATTAACCGTCAAGTAACTTGACAGTGGTAGGATGTGCTAAGATTTAATGCAACAATATATCACTCCGTCTTCACTTGCTCCCTTTGGAGAATATATATTGTGTGTTGACTGTTAGTTTTCATTATAGGACATCACTGAGATTTATGTGGCGTTCTTAGTATGCCTCCGTGTTCCTTGCGACACACAATATATCACAAAGTATCCTTCTATGTATGACCTGGCTTTTGGCACATTCCTCGGTCATGGAAGACACAGCATCTGTCAGGTTTATGTACAGCCGCCAAAGCCTGCTATAAATAGTGCCCAATCATAGTGTCTAATATCCACTTCCACAAGTAAGAAATGTGGAATAATCCTGGGGAATATCAATTTCAAAAGTCAATAATTAATGTAAGAGCTCTTATCGAAGGACAACAGTAGCATTGTGGAGGTCAGTGGGAGGAACCACTGAGTGCTGCAGGGGACAAGGAGGTTGACATTCTTGAAAGTGTTGGTTTCTGAAGACACTTAAGTTAGTGATATCTCCCCAAAGGAGCGATGTTTGGCAGCACAGCCAGCAGGAGAGGCAAGAATTTACCTTTGTCTTTATAGGCAAATCTTTTGTGTTTGGACTTTCAGTTTGGCAAAAAGAATGTTTTAAAGTAAACAAGCAATGAGAAAAATGCAGGTGGTGCCATTACTGACCTCCTTCTGGAAGCAAATATGCAGATCAGATAAGTCAGAAGTGATCATTTGCATATTTGTTCCAGGTCAGTGTCCCATAGTATTGAAGCTAAAACCTCAGCATGACAGCCAGGCAATCAGCATTTTTGGGAGGGGAGCTCTGCAATAGCAGCCTCCAGGTTTCTCTCGTGGCAGCTATCCCTTAATGCCATTTCCTCACATGTTATCTATATTATCTATTATTAAAAGTATTAATGTTATATTATTTTATTCAGTTATACTGTACCTATTTTTCTTTATTGTTTCATTTAGGTGACTTTTGAATCAGAGCAGAATGCCAATTGTAAAAATACCAGTGGTACAGAAATTTGGGATCTTGTCAACTAAATATCACCAGGAACTCCAAAAAAGAATTTTACAACTAAATGAAGAAAGCCATGGAGAAAAATCCTCTAGCCAGGGGTAAACAATACAAATAAATCAGCCTGATAAAAAGACATCACTTTGTTTATTAGTGAACTGATGCATGGTAAAGATATATAGCAGACTCAATTCACTAAGCTATAACAATCAATACTCACCATAGTGACCTTTATTTTCAGCAAAAAGGGCCAGTGAAAGCTGCCAATTTGTTATGGCAGAAAGGGATAAGCTTTAGATCCCCCATGAGTTTGACCCAAAGCCAACCTGTTCATAGTTCGGCAAAAGAGCAAACATAATGGCTAGATTTGTCCAGGCCTCCCACCTGCCCAAACGTCCAGCTGATGCAGTTGGAAGTCATTGATTTAGGCCCGGTTCACATCTGAGCAATCCGAGAAATGCGCACAAACGCAGACCGCACTTGCGGTGCCATTTATTTCTAATGACACCCTAATCGCGGCTAGCAATCTGCGTGGTTTTACGGGCGCGTTTCTGCTGGTGCAAAGCGCACAAATGCAGCCGCAAAAAAAAAGCGGGTCACACAAAAAGGTGCATGAGCCTTTTTGCCGCATTAGCCACATGTATATATCACCCCATTGAATACAATGGGGCAGCGCGGCAACCATGGCATGCAACCGCACGGTTCCGGGACGCCCATATGTGAACCAGGCCTTAGGGGCATGATCACTACCGGAACTTGTTTCAAATTGTAAGCAAGCCTGCGGGGATCCCGGGTCATGTCATTGACCAAGTATAATCATGACCATACTGTATTTTGACAAAGATGTCATCCAGCATGCCTGCCTGGTTTGTGGATATTCAGCTCACCAGGGACTGTAATTTATGAAGGGAGTAAGGTAGGTAGGGAGTAAGGTAGCGATAAGCTAGCATCATCATTTTGTTGGGTGGTTGCGTTGGCAGAGCACCGGGTGCCACTCATTATGATTGATGCTTGATCTGCAGTACATCGCAGTGCAACCTGATTGACATTGGATTTACACTGGGGGACATTGTTTATGTTATTCTTTTTTCTTTAAATAAAGGACTTGCTATGGTGTCTGTTCCCCCCCCCCCTATTTATTTTAACACGGGGTATTGTGTAGCCCCCTGCAGACCCCAACATCCACTGGTACCCCTTAGATATTGTAGAAGCATAAGTCCTTTATTAAATAAATAAATGCTCCCCACTGCAAAAGCTATGTCAATCATGTAGTCCAGTAATGGACCAACTTCAATCACATGAGTGGTGCCCCCATAACCTGGCAACAGAACCACCCGAGCCACTGATCTTATCCCACTTTATTGGGTGGGCAACTTTTCACTTGCAGGTTAAAGGCACCCCCAAGCATGTTATGTAAAGTATTTGGGTATTTTCAATGTTGCCCTATAAGCTGCATTAAAAGACCCGCTCCTCACTGAATGTTTAAAAAAAACAAAACATTGGTACATATCCTCTATGGCAGTGCCAAGCTATCTTTGCCTTTTTTTTAACAAGAAAAGGCCAGAAAAAAATTATTAGATTCAGCTCCCATTGCCTTCAATGGGGTTCGGGTGCTATGTTTGGGGCATGTGGATTTCCTGTTGGGTTCCACGAACGTCCAGCAAACTGAACTTTGCTTGATTTGCGAATTGCGAATTGCAAAAAACATTTGCGTTATGTCTTGGAAAGTCAGTCAATCAGTCAATCTGTCTGCATTTATATTAGGGTTGCACAGATACCAAGTACAGTACTCGGTACAAGTACGAGTACATGTACCGATACTTTTGAGCTCCAAGACTACACTAGAGAAAAATTCAAAACTTAGGAGGCAGCTGCCATGTGTAAGGAGCACACGGAGCTCCTGGGATTTGTACATCTCTGTTTTAATGTATGGTTTTGTTTTTATAAATATAAATGGATGCACAGATACCAGCTTTGCGAGTACAAGTACTGATACTTGCAGAGTACTTACAAGTACGAGTACTGATACATTTTTGTTTATTGTCATGTGACAGTTTTTCTAAAACAATACAGACTAATGATTTCAGGACAGTGGTGGAGCGCCAGAGCCAGGTCCCAGCTGCAACCGCTGCAACCCTGGTAGTTCTCATGAAAATGCCAAGTATATGCACTGGTACTCGAAAAGTATCTGTGCATCCCTAATTTATATCATATATTTTGGCATTGCAAATGTATCAGTGTATATAAAAAGTATCTATTTATAGTATATGGAGAAAAAAAACCTTATGGAAAATGTAATTATAAAAACTGCTGTCTTCTTCTAATATTACATATCATAAACAAAGAAAAAAAAAGACTTTTGCTTTACATCTTTACTTCTGAGGCATATTGTTCCTTTCTTTCCTTTTTTTTCTACATTTGATGATTCAATAGAGAATTGTGTTTTATGTGAGTAAATGACATTTGAAATCACTGCGTTCTTTGTGATCTTCATTTAGAAGCCCCTTGGAAGTCACAGAGGAATTCATCAAACAGTTTAACGCTGCAGAAGAGCTGGAGGATCAAGAGCATATGCTTGACTCCGCTTGGAAAATACTTCATCGATGCAAGGTAACAAAAGTTTACGATGAGTTTAAGTGGAATCTATGCAAATTCTGCACATTTTACTTGCTGGCATGCATTTCACCTCATCTTTTTCCAAAGAAAATGTTCACAACATCTAGATAATTATATCTCATACAATTACATAGTTTACTGAGTTAAAGTTTGTTGAGTTCAGCGTTTCACAACCCCAGCAATTTAAAATAATAAACAATGACAAAACATGAGATCAGTCCTAAAAAGCAAACGGGAGAAAAGGGTTTAACCCTGTATGCTTTTGCCGATCTTCCATAACAGTAAGGACCCAATCACAACGCCTGCGTTCAGCCTGAACGCAAGACAAGGCAATTTGGGGTGGCAAGTTCACGCCACTGCATTCATTGGACATATAATAACCTCCTCCCATGACCCAAAGGTCAGTATATAACGAGCTACGGCTCACTATATACTGGAAGTGCCGCAGCCCAGACAGATCCCGACAATACTGTCGAGAACCACCCAGCTGGCTGATTGACAGCAGGCTCTGCATATCTAGAGGCAGAGCTAGCTGTGCCCGCCCCTTCCCCCGTTCGTTCCTCCAAGCAGTGTGTCAAGGCTGGACCAGTGCTAAGTATCTAACTGGATCACAGCTGCGGAACCGATGGGGTCTTTGTTGGATAAGAAAGTTCAGTGAGCGACTCCCAGTTACATTAACTGCTAGAGGGAGACCGCACTCATCATATACTTCCTGTTAGGCTGGAGTGAGGAATAGGCTAGGATGATATAAAGGTAGTACCCCTTACCCCACACTCATATGCGGCAAGCTGTACATGTGCGATACCAGCGTGCGGAGTATCAAATGGGGAGACAAGCAGTAAGAGTAGCTAAGGGTTAATCTCTAGCAAACAGAGCAGATGCATATATAGGATATGTAGGCAGAGCCAATGGGGAGGTAAATGGCAGCTTATTCAGCAACAGACAATTAGATGCACCACTATGCAGTTTTATCAGCAGGTAGCAAGCATGGGGGCAATATGTGGACAGATCTAATCCTCTCCAATATTAGACTCATCAGCAG